AAGCTTTCACTTGACAGTTCCATGCAAAGTGAGATATTATCAATTTTGTGAGAATCTAATTACGAGAAGACAACATAAAGACGAAGCAGTACAAGATAGTGATATGATCACAGGTTTCACTTACTGTCTTCAAGAATGACAAAATGGTGTTATATTTCATTATGCGATGCCTATTGTGTATGATGGTAGGTGATTCAGACCTAATTGCACATGTTTTGCCCCCGATTTGCTTAGACGTTTGTGCAAAGTTCGTTCATTAAAGGTTGGTTTTACGCAAGGTTCTTCGTGTTTGAGTGCTTTTCAGGATTTAACAGGTGGAACCAACCTCGGAGTCGAAAGATTGGCGAAACGGATCGAAAACCGGGAGAAGAGGTGAAAAACCGCCAGTTCACGGCTAAAGGAAGGAGTTCATGGTCATGCAAGACAGCGAAGAAGGGGAGTTGACCGTGAAGCGAAAAACGTCCAGAGCCAAGTTGAAGGTTACTGACGCCCGTGAACACAAGCAGTTGCCCGTGAACTGACGTGAGCGATGCAGAGCATTTTGGCGCGTGGCTTGAGTTCACGGACGCGTTTGATGGTTCACGGCCATGAACTCAGGCCGTGAAGTCAGCTCTTCTCGGGTTTAAAAGCTTAGCTGCAAGGAGGAGAGAGGGGGAGAGCCCACTTTTGTGAGAGAAAAACCTTATTCAGCATTCTAGTGAGAGAAACAGAACCAAAGGGAAGAAGAAGGTTAGGGTTTGCATCCAAGGCAGATTTTGGGAAGATTTCCCCAAGGAGATCTCAGCTCAAGGGTCAAGAAGAGAGGAGGCATCCCCAAAATATGGTTTCCACCTTTTCCCCTTTTGTTCTTCCCACTTCTACCATGGAGTAGTCCTACTTTCACTTGGGTGTAGTGAAACTCTAACTCTACCATGTAGTTTTCTTGTATGTGGTTTGGATGATTGATATTGGGTATTGTTCATAATAATGTTTGAGCCATTATTCACCATGATTGTGCATGCTTGTGCTTAGCAACTTAGGGGTTGTGCATATTTTGTGCTTAGCATCCTAGATATTGTGCAGAATTGTGCTTAGCACCCCTAAGTTTGTGCATTTAGGTGCTAGTAATCTAATTTGCCACCTTAGCCTAGTTTAGAGAGGAAAATCCCCCTTTCAAGGGCGACTCAATTGAGTTGGTTTTCCTTCCGCTTTCTAAGCTACCTAAACTAGGTTGAGTTAGGGCAACCCTCAATATTGAATTGAAAAAGTCGATTAATTGTGGTTAAACCGTCCGACCTTGGAGTTGAGTGAGAGAGTAAGTCGATTACCGATAGTCTAAACCGAGAGGGTCGAGTGACACGGCCTTTCATCCTCACCTCGATTTAGCAATTGAGACTGTGGTCTCCGACCACATACGCTTTCCTCTACGGTTCACGATTAACGTGACCAAGGCAATCGTTCCAACCCGCGTAGCATGGTAGCGGTTAGGGGGAAGCGAAACCCAAGTGACTTTCCCACAAAAGAGTTTTCAAACCAAATTACCTTTGATTTATTTCATTTCAATGAGCAAACCTTTAAACCAAAGTTTTATCGCTAGATAATGATTTCAACAACCGAAGTAGGGGTAGACGGACCGGCCCGGGTCGATATATAAATACTTGCCCTATACTGCACCAGATTTGAGTTTAAAAACTTGGGCTCTAATTGGGGTTTAAGTGTGGTGTAGTTTCGTGCGAGTGAGTAGGTTGAATGTACTTTTCGTTTTTATGGCACAAAACCCTTAGGGGTCGTTTAGATTAGGAATTTTAATAACGAGGGATTTGGGTCTAAATCTCTCGTTTAAATTACTAGAGAATTTATATGTAGGATTTGACTGAAATAACTCGTTGAAGCTTAAATACCAAATAACTTTAGTGCCCCCATCTTCTACTACCTCTTTGTCTTCTTCCTTTGTTCATTCTTTTGACCAAACCCATAAAATAAGCCCGTTCTTCTTCGACGGAATCATCGTCGGCTTCCTCCTCTCCTCTCAAACACCACACAAGCAATCCTCTGAACCCCAACCCCAGAAATCACTCACTGCCGTATAGTTCCAAACCCCTCTCTTCTCCTCCCGCCGACAGATCTTGGTCTCACGCCCATTTCCACTCCCCTTCCCCGATGCAACAAACTCGGATTTCATTAATTCTAGTCCCAGTCCCTCACCGCCCCTGCAACAATGAACAATCCCCCCTATCCCGTTATTGTTTGGTTGCTAAGATACATGTTGAGATTAATCAGGATCAGGGTGAAGATGAGACATGAAGTGTGCCATCTGATCATGACTATGATGAGGGCGAGGAGGAAGATGAGGAGGAGGAGTAGGATGAGGAAGAAGGGGAAGAAGAGCCTAATTATACTCCATATTTTTACTTGCAGGGCAACGAAGAGGATGACAAATTATCATATGGCGTAATTCCAGTGCCTATTATTGCTGGTTTTGAAGGAGAATTCTACAAGGGGCAGATATTTCACTCCAAACAAGCTGCACATGTTGCGATTAAACACTATGCACTACAACGCAACTTTCAGTATGTGGTGGTGTAGTCTTCACCTTCAATCTGGAAGGTCAGATGATTGAAGCACAAGGATGACAATTGTGCTTGGATGGTGCGGTTTGGATATCGAGATGTTGGAAGCGAATGGATTGTGAGAAAGGACGAGTTGGTGCATTCTTGTAGCAGTACGAATCAACCGACGGATCATTGCCATCTTGATGTTGATGTTATATCTGAGTCCGTGAAGCATTTGGTACGTGCCCAACCAAAGCTGAGTGTTCTAACTGTGCAGGCTGATTTGAAAGATAAGTTTAATATGCAAGTTACTTACAAGAAGGCTTGGTATGGGAAACAAGGAGCATTGGAGAAGTTGCCTGGAAATTGGGAAGAATCATACCATTATTTGCAAACGTTCTTGCAGGTGGTAAAGATAAAAATGCCAACATCAGTGATTGATTGGGTAAGAGTTCCTTCATGCAACCAGGTCATTTGATCTTTCAGCGAGTATTGGGCTTATGGACCTTGTATAGATGGATTCAAGAATTGTCCAGGAGTCATGGTTGTTGATGGAACATTTCTTACTAGAAAGTATAAAGGAGTGCTACACATGGCGAGCTCATTTGATGGTCGGAAGAAGATTTTTCCAATTTCATTTGCCATAGTAGAGAGCGAGAATACTGATAGTTGGTCATGGTTTATAAGAAACCTTCAAGGTTTGACCGATCAAAATGATGTCTGCATCATCTCAGATAGACATGCATGACTCTATGAAGCCATGAGTCACATCGGAAGATGTTGGGAGTGGAGGTGGTGCATGCGACACTATGCAAGCAACTTGCAAAGGAAGACTAAAAGCATGATTAGGTATAATCAATTGTTTTGAGTCGGTAAGCCTTCTTCATCGTTATGGTTATTTATTGTTATGTTTTATTTATTTTCATTTAATTTTGTCATGGATATCTAACTCGCGTGGTTATTTACTTTGTTAGTTGGAGAAAAACGATTGGAGAAGTTCGATCGTAAAGTTGAGCAATTTAAGAAAATGGTCGTTGATAGAAATATTTCTTGTGATAACTAGGTGAGCCAAAATCAACTTCATTGTAGCTTAGCACATGATAATCATAATGGTGAGAATCGATGGTCTATCATGACATCCAACATGGCATAGAGCATTGATAGAAACCCGCCGAGCGGGTTTAGTGAGTAGAGCGGGTTAGTCGTACTAGGCTGGGTTGAGTGGTTATTTGTTATTTTCGGTAACCCACATACAAGGGGTCATAATAGTATTTTGGATTAAGCAATAAGAAATTATCAAATCCCTAATATCTTCTTCCTCCCAATTTTACCCAATCCTCACAATCCGTAAATCTTTCTCTTCTTCGATTCTCAATCCCTTCTCTTCTAGTATAGGTTTCTATCATCTGGTATTAGAGCCAGAATGAGCTCATCAAAGTTCTTCGATCCAAAATGGGTTCGTCTCTGCCAGCTGTTGCAGCAGTCTCTTGACCGCTATGAATAGGAAGAGCGGGAGAAGGTGACAACGTTGAAAGCGCGACGACGGCTGAAGGTGTTGCGGCGAATGAGACGGCTGCGGCCGCGGGCGACGAGGAGCAACGACGCCCAGCTAGATCGGCCGAGGAAGCCGCGGCGCAAGCTCGACTGGTCAGCGCTGATGAAGCGATGGTCTCCCTCAACTCGGTGGTGGGCCAGGCGGTCCCAGAGACGCTATGTGTAACATCCCAAACCTTGGGAAACTTATAAATCAACTCGGTTTATTAATGAATCAAGAATTTCAACCATACTCGAACAATTAGTTGCGACCTTATCGATTGGTTTACGAAATAACGAATATTCTGGAATGATATATCAGAAATTGCGAACAAATCTTGATTCCACAGGTTAGAAAATTCTTCCACGATCACGTAGAATTTTACGGAACTAAGTTTGGATTCCAAACGAGTGAGATATGTCATTTTGAAGCCTACACTTCGTTATTGAAATAACACCCGTACCAACACTAATTTGGTCATAACCTCTTCGTCTGGAATCGAAACGGCGAGCCAATTGCGCTCACACGATCGAATATACAAGGAGAAGATTTCAAAGGAGCAAGTCCATAACAAAACTCTCCATTGACTGTGTCGAACCAGTGAATCCTATCTTTAATATTAAGTTTTGGGTGGGATGATTGAATTAAATTGCCAATTCAGTTCATTCATTATAAGACTATTTTCATACCACAATCTTTGTACCCTCACATGGACTATATGTGCACACGTATATATAATCATTATTTTTTATATAAAGAGAGCTAAAGCTAGTATGTGAGTTGTAGCCAACAAACACTGAGTTTGGATTCATTATTGCCTATTGGCATGGGAGCTCCATCATGAGCTGTAGTAGCCAACAAACACTAAGCAATGAGTTGTAGTGTATTAAATGGTAAAGAGACTTCCAAGGCTCTGCCGACAAAATGAAGGATGAGGCACTTGTCTCTTTTATTCATAGAGATGGAGAGAATAGAAGCGCGAGAGGAGCATATACTAAACACGGCCAAAATAGAGAGTGAATAGAAAGAGAGTGAAATTAAGGATTCTGAAACTGGGTTGTGCTCGGGAGGAAGTCATAAATCGATCCACGGAGTCAGAATTCTGTTTGGAGGTCGTTAGAAGTCTCGTCGGAGCTTCGTCGGAGTTTCGTCGGAGAGTCGCCGGAAAAACCAGAAAAATGAACTTCAACCATACTTCGAAAGGTGGGTATGGTTGCGAAGAGGGAGATCTCAAGAGCGTCATGGTGTCGACGAAATCGAATTCGGACGTCGGATGAGGGAGAACCGAGCCTCCGAACTTTGAGCAAAAATCTGTCAAATCCAGGTACCATGTCTGGTAAATCGAAAAGTTAAAGGACCTCTCTGTAATTTTCTGACAGATACGGGTCAACATCTTTTAGTTGATTGGTAAACTTCGTATTTAGTCCCTGGTACTTTGAGTACTAATGGAATTCGTATTTCGTTCATAGATCGTTCGTTTGACGTCCAAACGACGAACCGTTTTCACCTACAGGATCGTGAGAACGAGGAGAATATTTTGAAACGAAGATCTGGAATCTCCAGAGCTTTCACAGAATCGGATTTCGTCATATATAAGGTGTGTGGGCTTACGGTAAAAAGGGAACCGGAATTACGTGTTTATTTTTAAATACGCACGATTGAGTTGATTATTAATGATTATGATGGATTTGTGATTGATTCATGATTGTGATCTTGGATGAAATTGTTGATGAATTTAACTGATTTTTATGATAATAATTATTATTAATCTCGTAGTGGAATTGTTGACGTATATGGTGAACTCCGAATATTTTCTCAAAATGTCTATTGAGATCAGAATAAGGAAAGGAAATTTAAGGAATCTTGAGATGACATTAGTCATGATATATTACCATGATAATGATTATATTGGTAATAATTGAGTTTTTTGAATTAATTGATGTTATGACGTTAAAAGGGTGAAATTGGGAATTAATAAATTGGATGAGTACATGAAAAGTGAATTCTGGTTAGAATAATTAAAATAAAGAATTTATGAACTTTGTTGGATTTTTGGATGGATGAAACCGGTTTCTACGTGATTTTGTTATTTAAGAGAACGTATTATGATTTTCAGAATAGTGGTGATTAAGAGAAAATTATTTAAACTGGAGTGTGAGTTCAAAGTGATTACCATGAGTATTTTTATCTTGGATTAAATTTGATTTACGTGTTAAGATTAATTTTGAGAAAAGGTTAATTGAGTATATAATTGAAATATTGAAAATGGTCTTATTAATGGATTTTGATTTAGATTTGTATTTTAAGAAATGATCACTGTGAGATGTGTCATTAATGAAAATCTTTTAATAATCATGAGAATATATATATTGGGTATGGTCCTTAGAATGATTTCAAGTTATTGATAGAAATTTATGAAGATACGGTTTTGAGCATAATATGTTTAATTGATATTTTGATATAATTAATTAGTGGACGATATGGATAAACTGATGTGTTGTAGATTATATGGTTCGTATGGTCAAATGATTTGATGATGAATAAAATATATATTGATGATTGATATGTATGATTATGACATGATGATGATGATAGTGATATTGAGTAATAGTGATACGATTGACGTGTATGAGTATGACGTGATTAGAATATCGATTGGTATAAATGTGATTGGTAAATATAAATATTACTGAGATATTTTTTGGCAATGTTGATATGATGAATGCTTTGATTAATGATGATGTGGATGAGATATTATCATGATCGAATTGTATTTGATGTGTTAAATGATTACGATGAGTGAATGATGTATTGCTAAATTGAGTACTTGGTAGATTTGTCAAGTTTGATTGAAGAGAATGAATTATTTATATCATCGAGAAGATGATGATTATATTGAGATCATGCAATGCATCAAGGTATGCATAGATGATGTGAGATATGTATGGACTGGGAATATCAATGGGACGCTGTTGATTTCTTGGATCGATTGAGATATGATGGAAGAGAGAAATTGATATTGTTTGATCATGTTAAATCACATAGACATAGAAGGGCCTATGCCTACCCCTATGAGATTGATTGGGCTGCGGTCCTAATGAAAGGATTTATGATAATCCTAGATTGGATGAGATTGTGGTTTTTGATATAACCACTAAGATGATGAGCTCGAGCGGGGTGGGCGTATGGTGACCTTAGTGCGCAAATTAATAATAAATGGAGAGTCTGCATTTCATGCATTGCATATGATATATATGATGGTGATGATTTCCATGAAGGAAATCATGAAGTTATATTCGATTAATGATTGATTGAAAGATTGATATGGTTAATGCCAATTTGGTGATCTGATTATGGATGAATGATTGATATGGTTCATTCCAAATTGGTGATTTGATTATGGATGAATGATTGATATGTTTGATGTTCAAATGATGACTTGACTTTGAATGAAGGATTGATATGATGGATTCATGAGTTGAGGTAAGTTTACGATTTTATGTCGATATACGACTTCATTAATGAAATTCATACCATGAGGAATTGGGTTAAAGATGAATTTGGATTGATGACCTAGAAATAAATATAGAGATTAATGAGATTTTCGTGTGGCATGATAATTTGTTGATGATGTGTTTTTAATCAACAATATGTGATGGCATGCTAACAATAGTTTTGCCGTATAGGCCAGGTCCACACACTCAACTTAGTAGCTGACCCATTTTTCTTTCTAGATATGACAGGTGTGGTAAATTGAGGATGACTTTGGCAATGCACAATGATCGATGGAGGATTTTGGTTTAAAAGGTTTTTCACATATTGATGTACTCCGAAATCATTATTTTTACGATTCGGGTTTTGAGCATGCATGATAGTTTACGTTAGTCAAATATGATCATTAAATTGAGTTGAGCGTGAACGGAGTAGACGAGATTGATAGTATGGGTTTGGTGAATCCTGAATTTAACGAAGATGGATTAATGAATTGAGAATATGATTTTAGTAAATTGTTATGATGAGTTGAATTTTAAACATATGAGAATGATGTGAATGTGAGTTGAGTCGAGATTTTGAAAACGTAAACCCCGAGTGATTTCCGCTACGCGGTTGAACCATCGGTTCGATTCATGTTTTTAGGGTGGGGTGTTACACTATGATTCCGCGCTATGATCGACGAGCGCTCCGCCAGGACATTGGTGGACAGTGGTGCTTCGCTCAATTTCATTGGGGCGGAGTTCGCCAAAACGCTAGCGCAAGAGGCGTGTGACGTGGTGCCATTGGTGGTCAAGGTAGCTAATGGCGCAGCCATGCGGTGCGACAAGGTTTACCGAGGCTTAAACCTCGACATCCAGGGCTTGGAAATCTCAGGTGATCTATACGTGCTTCCGATCAAGGGTTATGACGTGATATTGGGAATTCCGTGGTTGCGCAGTTTGGGTTCGGTTACCAGTGATTGGACGAGGTTGATTATGTGTTTCAAATGGAGGGATAATGAGTGGACTTTGCAGTGGTTAGCCACAGTGATGGGACCGATATCCATTAGGGAGTGCGCGCCGGGAGGGGAGACCGACTTCGCGGTCCTCTGCTTGCCGCTGGCGACACCGGAGACGAAGACGATCTCGGTTGACTTACAGGCCGCACTCGACTGATTCCCGGATGTATTCCAGACTCCCACAACCCTTCCTCCTCATCACCAGGTTGATAATCGCATTAACTTGAAGGAGGGAGTGGAGGTTGTGAATGTCTGACCCTATCGATATGGGCACTCTCAGAAGGAGGAAATAGAACGGCAGGTGGCGGAGATGCTTGAGACGGGGTTGATTCGTCCGAGTACCAGCCCATTTTCTTTGCCGGTGCTTCTGGTTAAGAAGAAAGATGGGACATGGTGATTTTGTACCGACTATCGGGCTCTCAGTAAGGCAACGGTGAAGGACAGGTTCTGATCCCGACCAATGATGATATGCTAGATGAGATCCACGGATCGACCTACTTCACTAAGATGGACTTGCGAGCCGGTTACCACAAGATACGAATGGAGGAAGAAGACGTGCATAAGACGGCCTTCCGGACTCATAACGGACACTATGAGTACCTGGTGATGTCGTTCGACTTGTGTAATGGACCCTCGACCTTTCAGGCAGTGGTTAATTTATAGTCCGACCTATGCTGCGATGGTATGTTTTGGTGTTTTTTTTATGACATCCTTGTGTATAGCCCGTTTGGGAGGACCACTTGTAGCATCTACAGCGAGTGTTCGAGATACTCCGACAACACCAGTACTATATCAAGGCTTCCAAGTGTGCTTTTGGAAGTCAGGATCTCGATTATTTGGGGCACATGGTGACGCCTCAGGGGGTTTGAGTTGACCAGACCAAAATCCACGCAATGGTGGAGTGATCGGCTCCGACCACGGTGATTGAACCGAGAGGCTTCTTGCTGTTGACGGGGTATTACAAGAAGTTTGTTAAGGAGTACAATATGATAGCCCCACCCCTGACCAATATGTTGAAGAAGGGTGGGTTTGAGTGGTCTCCGGCGGAGGATGCCGCGTTACAGCAACTTAAGCAGGCCATGACGTCGACGCCCACTCTTGCTATGCCGGACTTCTCCGAGTTGTTCGTGATCGAAGCAGATGTTTCCAGCAGGGGAACTAGGGTGGTGCTCTCACAAGACCGGCACCCAATAACTTATTTGAGTAAGACCTTGGCCCCTACCATACTTCAGGAGTTTCATGACTCACCGCTCGCCGGGTTTCTATCAAGCATCAATGGTATTTTCAAAGGTATTTTCAAAGGTATTCGTTCACTTCCTATAGCTTCTCTTGTACAACATACTCATTGGCGATTATTGGAGAAATTCGATAAGATGAGGTTGAAGACAGAATCACAAATAAAAAATGGTCATTCACAATACACCAATTCTGTCGAAGATCTTTTGAAGCCGTGGGCAATGCAGTCAAAAGCGCAGTTTTATCTAGAAGCAGAAAAGAGTAAAATCGTAAAGCGTAGGATCGAAACGTAAAAACGTAATTTTTTATGCATATGTAAAATAGTTAAAATTTTGTTAAGTACGACATGTACGATGTAAAAATCTGTTAAATACTTTAAGAACAAATGATAATTACGTATGAACAAATTATTATTGTCAAGCAACTTCGAAATGCATAACTATTAACAAAACACAACTTCGTTCTCACTGTAAAGTAACTCAATCTCAATCCTTTTCTAATTTCTTAAAGTCACTCCCAAACTTAATTTCCCATGTCCCACAATGACAATGGTGCAAGGCTAGGCAACTTAAAGCACGGTGGAGAACTGATGGCGTACATCAAAACCATATCCCTTATATCCAATATTCATTTCCTCGCTAGTCAGCTCCACAGATGAACTGATTGAGGAAATGAAAGAAAGGGAAGGAAGCTATCAAAGAAATAACAAAGGGACGACTCTGGTTATATAAGTAAAGCATGAATCAATTGTTTTCCCTCTGCATTAACTTAATATGTCGACCGACTTATTTTCCTAGATATTGACACTAACACACCAGGTTAATGCTCTACATACTCAGAACCAAGTCATTAGTTTAATAGGTTATGAAGGAAGAAGAGTAAGAAGATTCAGGCAAGATGCAAGAAGGCCAGAGGCAAACCTTGAGATGGAAAAGGTAACAGAAATGGAGGCAGCTCTGGGTAGTAGGATTTGGGAAGACTCGTCGGAGATGAAAGGTTGGACGGAGCTAGCAAGGATGGAGGCCTCGCGTGATTAGGGATTTGAATCAGGAGGAGCTCGGCTGTGGATAGTACGAAATCACCCCTTTCAAATTTTTAAATTTTAAATACCAAAATGTCGTCACTTTAGTAAAATTGAAACTTTTCTGGTCATGGTCTAGAATCGAACAAAATCGCTACAAAAACACGTTTTCGTCCGTTTTTACAGTTTTTATCGATTTTGTGTACAAAATGATTTTAAGTGGAAACTGATTCGTTACGTTTTTACGACTTTAAACGCGATTTTGATTGCACTGGCCGTGGGCAGAAAAGGGAATTGGACATTCCATGACGGGGGTTGATCAACGTCAGGGCATCTATGTAGTTCAGAATCCTCCCAACAATTTTAACATGACGGGTTCGAACACACTCACAGTGTACTTCTATGGCAACAATCGGGTGGGATTTTGCATTTGGGGGAAATTCCAAGGAAATAAAATTCCTTGCTCTCATGTCATTGCAGCTTGCAACCGAATGGGGGCTAACCCGTATAGGTTTGTAAATGACATCTACAATCTTGAAACAGTATTGGCTTGTTATGGGACAAGTTTCACACTTCTTGGTGAACCTAAGGGTTATAAGAAGCACAAAGTCCCTACTCTCCATCCTAATGTGCACATGATTAGGAAGTCGGGGAGGCCACAATCAACAAGAATTCACAAAGAGATGGATTGGCCAATAGAGGGTGTAGTGCAACAAGTTTGTAAGAACTATAACTAATCTGGACATAATGCATAAACTTGTGGTGGCCAAGCAAGTGGCAGTGGGAGGCTGGGATCCAACGAAGAGAAAGTGGTGGCCAACGACGTGCGGGAGGTAGTAGAAGAGGGAGTAGTGGTAATAGACGTGGTATGTAGAAGTTGTTGTTTTTCGAAGTAGTTGTTATTGTTTGATGTTGTTATGGTTTGAAGTAGTTATTTGGAACTTTCAAATTTCCATGCAGAAGTTGTTGTTGTTTGAAGTAGTTGTTTGAACTTTTATCAAATGTTCTAGTTGTTGTTGTTTGTTGTTTTTTATAGTTCAAGTTTTCATTTTAGACAATCACACAACAATAATAGTAAAATAATATATCATGAAATGATAAATAGTCCACAATAATACATAATAGTCATAGAAATACATAATAATAACATCATACACAATAGTCTCACTAACGACCACAACGGCGACCACCATGATGATCCACTAGATGGCCGCCAGTACCACACCTCAGTACCTGCATGTTCCACACAGGCCTATCCTCAGCGTGCTTGGGCTAATCTCCCTCCACTATATCATCCTAATCCTGTGTACCGAATAAACCATCCATCTAAGACTCGGGATGCTCATCTAGTGCACCGCTGAAAAACCCCTGCCCCTGAAACTGCTGGTCATAAGACCACATCGATGCCATAAATGTAGAATCCTCATCTAGCGTGTCTCACATGCCTCACACAGGTCTCCGACCACTCTTCATCTTCTATGTCTACTATGACGACATCACCGTCGGTCGCTAGACCGGTCAGTGTCACAACGTACTCTAAAGTGATCGTAACCTCACCAAACGGCAAGTGTAAGGTCGATGTCTCGAGTCGCCAATGCTCTACAAGCATAATGATCAAACTTGCATCAACAGTCATAGGGACCAATTACAGAACACAAAACAAGCCCGCCTCCATGAGGTACATATGATAACGTGGATGGTACGTGACTATATGGGTCGTACCTCGAATATGGTAAACTAGATCACCAGCCTATAATGCACAAAATTTATATTAATTCAATTTCATGAGTAATTCTAATTTCAGTTCATCTAGTAAAATGTGTAGACACCACTTTTTGTCCGAGTTAAAACCTTTTTACTTAAATAAAATTTAGTTTTTATTGAAGATTTGCAATAGCAAGTTAATTGATTTTCAAACTAAAATATATTGATAGTGCTTGAGACGGTCGTGTTCGCATTAACTCTATGAGATAAGAAATAGCAAATCTCGATTGATAGAGTCAAGTTGATGTTTAATACATTCACACGGCTTGGGTTAGTGGGGTTTCGATTTTCATGTTTTGGTTTGGTTAAGCGAATTAACGAATTGATTAATCTCATTGTCATGAGTTGTTTAAGACCAATAACAATTGAATTGGACATTGGAGTTGGAGTTGAGAACAATAAAATATGATGAGAAGGTTAAACAGAAATTACCCTTAACATAAGTTTTGATTACTAAATAACAATTATAACTATGACTAGTAATCAGTTACAATTACATAGACCCTTTCATTAAACAAAGATTACAAATTACAAATTTTATTACAAGGGATCAAAGCCTAAGCCCAAGTCAACTCAGTCCAGCCCCAGTCAACAAAGTCAAGCCGGTCAGAGAACAAACAGGTCTGACCAAACCCATATCGGTCCGACCCAACTCAGACCGGTCCGACTCAAACCCGACACTGTTCCAGACTTGGGTAACAAGTTGACTCTCCTATAAAAAACACTCCACTCTTCTGAATAAGGGGGGGGAGAGCTCTTCTTCTTCCATACTGTTTTTTTCACTCTTCTTCCTTTCCCACAGCAGACAACATCTTCCTCTTTCCTTTCTTCCTCCCCACGAGAACAAAAGGGTGAGGCTTGGCTCTGCTTCTTATTCTTCCTTCTCCCCACAGCTGCTTTTCCTTTCCGGAAAACAGACAGAAAAGAGAAACAACTCAACAAAAACTTACTCTCCACTTCTTCCTTCTGTTCTGATCCATAAACACAAAGGGCAGAGAAACTATGCAAAACTTCCCTTTTCCTTCTTCCCTAAGCCACATACAATCACGAAACAGCAGCCAAAACAAACACAAAAAGAAACACACAAAAAACAAAGTAGTTTGCCTTTACTTATCTCCCTACAGGTGAGAATTGAAGGAAAAGAAGCTAAGCAGATAGCAGAAAGGCGACGTCAAGCCCCAAAATTTGGGGAAAGGAGGCCAAACCATCGAAACCTACTAACAACAAAGCTGGAAAACAAACAGAAAGAACCAAAAACCAACAGAAAACACATACAGACAACAAAGGAGACAAAAATTCCCTTATACCTCCCTTATTTGTTCTGTTTCACCACTTCTTCCTTGCCAAAAAAAAAAACACATACAACAATGATGCGAAAAAAGAAAAGCAGTAGAAGAAGAGCATAAAAAGACAAACAGCCGTAGACATACAAGGAGAAGAGGAACAAAAAACTGGAAAGAGGAAAGCAGCTTCAGCCACTCCTCCAACCACGGCAAAAGGTTAATATCCAAATCCCAACCATTATCATACATAATCAATCATCTAATTTCTCTACCTATGTAAAGCTTCTTGTGTAAAAACTTAAGCAATGGCCAAGCAAATCACAAAAATGGAATTTTCACTATATCTAGAAAGTGATTTAACAATGGAAAAATCAGATCTACTACATTACTTAATGTCTCTATATTTCTGCTTACATCGGCTTTTACGTTTAAGCATATTTCAAGCTAAAAAAACAATAGATCTGTTTCCTTGTTTTGCCTTTGATTGCTTTATCAGTATTCAACATATCAATTTCATACTAAGTGAATCTAACATCAACATCTCAAATTTTCGACTAAAAAGCAGATTTTATAACAAGCAAAACTAGACTCAAGACAAAACTCGTGAACATATTTTGAGGTGTCTTTATTTTGTTTGAGGTACCCTATGCGAACCCCAACCCATCACCTCACAGGGCATATCAGTCGACAAAACAACACATGATTCTAGTTTCGTATAGAATCCCTAATCCCATGCCTAAACCCAGATTTCATACATCATAAACTCAATAAAAACCCAAATTTAACACTAAAGCAATAAAAGACGAAGTAATCACAAGCAATTACAGTGTTTATAGTGAGTTTAAGAAATTCTAGAACTTGAACCGCAATTCTAAGATTTCTTAGTGTTCAAAGTCCCACACCTCAGTTATAAACACAATTTTCACAACCACAATTACCTAACAGTTTCAAAACCATCCCAGATTTACAAAACCGCCCTATTAACCCCAATACAAACCAATCGAAAAACCAAATAATCCAATTACCAAAAAAACTTACCAAGCGGGAACCCCCAGTAGTCGCTTTCTGGGTTTTCCCTCATCGCCGGCGGAGCCAGAGCGCCGGTGACTCTTTATTTCTTCTCCTCCCTTCCTTCCACGGTCAAACATCCCCAAAAGGCCTAAAATCCAAATAAAAACACAAACACAAACATGCATTAGAATTGAAATACTCGATCCAACCTAAAAAATACTAAAAATCAACATGCAATGAGAGGATTTTGATCACTAACCTTCGCCACCGTGATTCCCATCATCGTCGGAGTCGTTCGCCCTCTTTCCTTTCGCCGGCGATCCATAGCCGTCGGTTTTCCTTCTCTCATTATTGTCGTTACCATGGAGGAAGAGAGAGGAATAGGACAGATCGGAAGGGGTTAAAGAACGAACAAATGGATGGATAACGGGATTAGATGGGGAAAGAAGAAGACGAAGAAGGGAATGAGGAAGTGGCAGATTCGAGTTGTGTTTCTTGCGATTTTTGTAGTTCTTTTTCGTTCGTCCAGAGAGAGAGCGGGAGAAGAAGGCAAATCGACAGAAATGGAGATTAGAATGCGGCTATGGTTAAATTTTCGTCCCTTCTAGTTATTTTATACACCGTCCGTAAAGACCAAAATACCCCTCTTATTTTTGAAAATTTACCCGCTGCCATTATTCATCAGAAAACGGAATAACAAAAATATACTAGTAAGCGGCCAAGTTCGAAACATCGACCTCTTTCTCACAAAATCAATAAACTCGAAAATATAAACCACTAGGCTAGTCACCTACCACTCGAACCTTTCACAATCGCTTTGGATTTTAACTCTTCAACGTTCCTAATACGTAAAATTTAAACGTGATCGAATATTTAGTTTAGGATTAATTCAATTAGTCTTATACACAAAGGGTATCTAACATCCAATCATTTTGAGATAATTGATTTTCGCTATCTCCAAAATACATATTTTTCCTAAAAAACTCTTGTAAAAAAATCATGGTCAATAGACCGTGATAATCGTCACGGTGAAACCCTTTCAAAGGTCATTTATCACTAAATCGCTAAATCAAAAAATCATAAATACATTTTCTAAAAACTCAATTTATCAACTAAACAACGATCAATATAACGTGTTGAGTTCACTTCTTAAAATCTCTCAATTTAAACGAACTACGTGGACTTTGATCCCGACTAAGTCGGGTACGTAGGCAACCAATAGGTTCGAGTCCAACTATAAAAAAAACTCTTTCTTTACATTCTACCTCATTGAATCTGATAATTAAATCATCAATAAAGGCGCAAATAATAATACACACAACCTTAAAAGCTTATCGATTTAAGTAGTACCCATTTGGGGCGTTGTGGGGTGTGAATACACTTCCTCACACGTAAATGTACTCCCGAACCCAGAACTCTAAATTTTGCAGACCAAATCCCGGTTTCGACGCTAAGGTCCAGACCGGGCCAAAAAGGTGTTCGATCCACCCACAAGTAAGATCGATGGCGACTCCGAGCAAATCGCGATGGGTACCCTGGTTTCGAGGGGCGGTTGCGACAAAATATATCTAATCTTTTTTTATTTCCGAGTGATATCAAGAGAGGACAAGAGTTATACAAACAAAACTACCCAGGACCCCCCTACAAGCAACACCCTAGTGAAGCCACCCAATAAAGCCGAAAGATTAATTCTAGGAGAGACTATAGCAGTGCTTTAAGCGCCACTCTATGGGCAGCACTGTTGGCTGCTCTATGAACTTCCCTAAACTCTATACAAAGTGTCAAAGAGTCTAGAATCTAACGACACTCCCGGTGCACCGGACCTCCAAAGGAATCTTCTAGGACACCTTGCCGGATTAGATTGAGGTGTTTGATACTCTCTACGTCTCCAACAAATCGGTTATCAACTTAGTCAGTTAACTCCCTGAAACTGGAGGGCCACGGTAGAATTACTTTACGGAATCAAATTATATGCTTACTAGCTAGAAATGAATTGAATCATGAATTCACTTCCTCCTTGCTGCTGTACCTCAAATTTAAATGAATTGAAGTGTAAGACATCAAATCTATTAAGTAGACTTAATGAACCATTAATTAGTTGTTGTCCAAACAGAAATTGGATCATTAATCGAGAAAAGGTAATTAATGATCAGTTTCAATCACAGTCTGAAACGGTTGTGATCCTCCCGTAGCTAACGTTCGGATTATTAAATGCCTAGAAACTCCTTAAAGTGACCATTAAAAGCACTATACAGACGTTTCCAGTGCAATCCATTGCTAGCCATGATGTTCTATTACCGAATTGAGGGAGTGTGTTATTAATTAACGTCTTAACCGGCATTGTTTTGAAATTCCCCTTGAAATAGACCAAAGTAGAATTCGTTGGAGGCTCTGATTACTAGAGCTTTAGAATGCTCGAACTCATCATTAATTAGACAATTTAAAACCCTAATTAAGCCATTCCTGGCGTAAGCCGTTGTTAGGCGTATAACCTGTGTAACAATTTTGATAAAGGATGGTTTTAATCTCATTAATTATGCTCTTTAATGAATTTTGTTGGCCACCACCGGGGACACATTCGCGTTGGAGATGAATCACCCGCCCACTTCTCCGGTCATGGGAACCGCCAGCTTCGACAACCGACATCTACTCCATCGTCGTGGTCCATGACTCCTCGTCGGACTCCGAGGCGGATCCGAGAGCAAGAGACAAAACCTCTCGCCGCCTAGAGACCAACAACATCTACGCCACAATGGTGTACAACGGTGGAGCCGTCGATTTCCGGGAGAGCGACGGAGAAGAGGACAATGAAGACGAAGAATCGCTGCCCCCGCTTCCCAAGTGCTTGCCCGAGGACTTCAGAGATGGCGCCTCGCTGGATGACGAGGTAAATGATGATGACAACGACTACGACGGGGACTTTGGGACGAGGATTATGAAAATAGAGCCAGTGCTGCCGCCTAAAGGCAGATGTCGTGGCCACAATAACAACACGGAAGGCACGGCAAGGTGGCAACTGAGCCTGCTGTCGTGGTTGTTATTGTCGTGGATGTGGTGGCTGGCGGCGGGTGGCCCTCCTCATCCCACTTACGGTAGGCAACAATGGATGCGGCGGGTGGCGGAGGATGACCCTCCTTATCCCGGTTAGGGTGTGTAGCAGTGAATAAAGTCGGCTTGTTTCCACGGGCCATTTCTTGGATTGTTGTAGCATCTCTCAAACACCAATCTACTGGAAACACCAATTGTTGGGTCATATATCTTACATACACATACACTCAACTAGCCTTAAAAATCTCTTAAGCCACCATCTACCAAAAACAATCTACTGGAAACGCTGGTACTAGCCCGGTGGCGATACTCTCCCCGCACGTTCTTCCCTCCCCAATGTAGAATTGCGATTGCGTGCATGGCTTTTCTCAATTGGCCACTTTCAACGGGCCACCAAAAATTGAATTTACAATACTCGTCCTATCATTTTTCCCTAATAATATTCAACGGGCTTATCGGCATCAACGTTGACAAGATTCCGCCAATCAAACGGTCGGGGAACAAACGACGGCTTCCTACACCTCAACAACGCCCAATTCACCCCGTAAAAAAAGGATGGTGCTTGATCGCCATTGCGCCCAGCGTCGACCCCAACCGTCGTGCGGGATCCTTGATCAGCGGATGAGCAATCAACTCCTTAGCCGGCCCGGGCACCGCCGGCTTCCAGGGGAACTCCAGCGCACGCGCCACCACGCTCACCAGCGTCGGCTCGTGGTCGCACCTTCTAAATTGCGTCACCCCGTAGAACATCTCGTACACGAAGATCCCCAGCATCCACCAGTCCACCTCGTCGCCGTGCCCGTCGCCGGCGATGATCTCGGGGGTGAGATACTCGTGCGTCCCGATGAACGACATCGACCGCACGTCCACCCGCTCCGCCACCATCTCCGGCGCGCCGTGGTGGCGAGAGGAGGACTTGTTGTTGCTGTTCTTCTTCGTTCTTCGGTTGTGGTTAGTGTGGAAGCAGGAGGCGGCGGTGGAGGCGTGGGAGATGCAGTTGGGAATGGTGCAGCCTGATGATGACGTGGCGGAGGAGGAATATTCCTCGATGTTGGAGGAATGTGGAGAGGGAGGAGTGGGGAGGGACCAACGATCTGTGCGGCAGTGGAGGTAGAGTTGTCTTTCAAGGAGAGGTCAAAGTCGGCGAGCATGATGTGACCGTCAGAGTGGACGAGGACGTTCTCTGGCTTCAGGTTGCGGTAGATGATTCCCATCCTGTGGAGGTACTCGAATAAATCTATCTAATCTAAACTTATACTAATTTCAAAAAAATTCATACAGAATCCTATTCTAATGTCAGTTCAGTTTACCTAGTAAAAATCTAAACATCTAATCTAACTAGCTAATGAACTTTAAAGAAGTAGTTGTTATGAAAGACTTACCTCATTTGCCCAAACTGAGTCGACACGATGTTGACCATGTGCCCAAAGAAGTACCGAATCGACCGGAGCTGGATCAATTGTCGTAGGTGATGGTCTCATGGAATAACTTTCCATAAGCCTAGGAACTAAAAAAATAATAATGAAAACATAATGAATAAATCTCGCCGCTGGTGAGAATCCGGCCGCTGCCGGTAGAATCCTCACCTCTGCACCGGCCGCCTCCGTCGCGAGCTCGCTGCCCTCTCCGCCTTCCTCTGCCGGCGACTGCTTACTCGTCGGAGTAGGATATCTTCGGCAGAACCACAGATCTGGTCCGTGCGAGGAAAGAAAAGCGGGCGGGTCCGCTTGGGACTGAGGCGAAGAGTCGCTGGTCTCTGGCGGGTCCGCTTGAGACAGAGACGAAGCCGCCGTATTTCCGGCGTGGACGCTTGGAATAGGGCGGGTCCGCTGCTGTAAGGAGGAATGAGAGATGTGTGCGGTTTTTGGGGGAGGGAGAAGAAGAGGATAAGGAATGAAGAAATAAAAAGAGGGGACGTGTCCGCCCTATTCTCAATAAGGTCCGCCTCAAACTCGAGCGGGTCCGCTCATATCAAATTTAAAAGCTCAAAAAGCGAATCCGCCTGAGTGTAAGGCGAACTCGCTATTTCTCTCCTCCAAAACACAATATCCCTGTCAATACTTTTAAAACCGCTATATCTAGGGTAAATAAAAAAAATATATATTTTGAGAATAACCCTATCCTACAACATGAGGAATGCGTTAGGGTGGCAACTAAAATTTTGGTAGCCACCATGGCTACATCACTATCTGCTGTCCATTTTTCTTGTTTTCCTCTTTTTTTAATCTCACGGTTAATTTTGTTTAAGGGTAATTTTGGAAACAAAAAAGAGCCTACACCTGATTATTCTATATATTCTACCCAAACCCTAATCTACCATCCCCTCCAGCCGAACCCTACACGACGACAGCCGACTGCCGCTACACACCCCTCTCTCTTTCTCCTCCGCCCACCTCCTCCACTCCACTCCCCTCCCCTCTCCTCTCCCCCCCCCCCCCCCCACCCTCCGCCCACCTCCTCCACTCCCTTACCATCTCCTCCGCCCATACACCCATAATATCATACAAAAATTTAATCCCCTCTCTTTCTTTCTCTCTCTCCCCCCACCTCCTTCTCTTATGTTGTTCTTCTGCATCTCCTTAGGGCAAAATCAACGACCGGGAAAGAGGTAGCTTTTGTTTGTATTGGTATGTATTTTGTTTGTATTGGTAGTGATTTTTTAGTAGTAGTAATGTTTTTTCCTATTGGTATTTTTTTCGCAATGGGATTGTTGTTTGGTAGTGATGTAATTGTATTGGTATTGGTTAATAAGTATCAGTGTTTTTATGGATTGATATTGATTTTGTTGCATTGGTATTGTTTATGTCGCATTGGTATTGATAATCATGTAATGGTATTAATTTGCATGTATTGGTATTGATTAAATCTACAATAGTATTGATTTATTTTGAAATGATATAGATTTATATTGATATATTGTTTATATTGGTTAATAAGTATTGATTAAATCTGCAATGGTATTGGTTAATAAGTATCAGTGTATTTATGGATTGATATTGATTTTGTTGCATTGGTATTGTTTATGTCGCATTGGTATTGATAATCATGTAATAATGGTATTAATTTGTATGTATTAGTATTGATTAAATCTGCAATAGTATTGATTTTTTTTAAATGATATAGATTTATATTGATAGATTGTTTATATTGGTAGTTTTCGTGTAATGTTATAGATTTATTTCTGCAATGGTGTTGATATTTTTCAAAGTGGTAGTGATTGTCTAATGGATTGGTAGTGATTTCGTTTTTTTTTTCAGAAAAATTGAAAAAAATAAGGAAAGGAAATCTGGCTGGAGATTACGGAAGTGAGAGAAAGAATCGTAATTAATAGATTTTTGTAACTACCTAAAATGTAATTTATTAAAAAATTAATTAATACAATTTATTTTTTCATACCCAATTTAGCTTTAGTAACTATGTTTAAGTAAACATGACTATGGGATCGTTTGGATTTGGTAATATACAATTTTTACTTTTGTATAGCTAAATTAAACTTATTCTCTTCTTATTTCAATTTTTCTCGTTTAATAACATTAATTTTTATTCAGCTTTATATTTTATTTTATTTCTTTCCTTGTATTGATTTGTCTAATTTAAATTTACTCACACTTCAAATTTAAACAACTATTTTAATTAAATATTAATTACATATAAATTCCTTTTTAATATTAATATATTTATATTTTATAAATGGACCCACCTTAACTAATTTTCTGGCTACGCCCCTGATGAACACAATAACCCAACAAACTACCCAAGATACCCGCAAAGATTAGTCCGCGTGAGGGATCGAAGAGTGACGTCCATGCATTGCAATTTGCATATACCTACTGCTATAAAATGATGGGCAAATGTTTCCATTAGTGTCACACTCACACCCCCCATAATCAATTCATTTTCTTCTCTTTCCTCATCATATCATCACTCTCTTCCGAAAAAAACACTTGCTCCAAATACAAAAAACACAACGCAAATGTAGCGATTGAGTATCTTTTCTGCGATCCTTCTGTGGGTGTTCCTTGCGGTGTCAACTCTGGAAGCCTCCGCCTCCTCTGACTCTGAAGTCTACATCGTCTACCTCAGTTATACGACAACGAAAAATCTGACGGCGAAGGTGGCTGTCCTCACATCCCTGCAAATCAGGTGATCACAGTTATTGATTAATACATCTTTGGATTTCGACAATTTTTGTTGTAAATAATTGCATTTTGGCTTCATGACCGACATAGTTATATAGCGTATATAACGTAAATAATTGCATCTTTGAAACGGTTTGATCGTTATATACGTTCGACATAGTTATATAACGTATATAACGAAGATAATTGCATCTTTGGAACAATTTGATTGTTTTATACGTTCGACATAGTTATATAACGTAAATAATTGCATCTTTGGAACGATTTGATCGTTATATACGTTATATCGGTCATGAAGCCAAAATGCAATTATTTACAACAAAAATTGTCGAAATCCAAAGATGTATTAATCAATAACTATGATCACCTCATTTGCAGGGATGTGAGGACAACCCCCTTCGCCGCCAGATTTTCCGTCGTCGCAGAACCGAGGTAGACGATGTAGACTTCAGAGTCATAGGAGGGCGAGGCTTCCAGAGTTGACACCGCAAGGAACGCCCACAGAAGGATCACAGAAAATATACTCAACCGCGACATTTGCGTTGTGTTTTTTGTATTTGGAGCAAGTGTTTTTTCCGGAAGAGAGTGATGATATGATGAGGAAAGAGAAGAAAAGGAATTGATTATGAGGGATGTGAGTGTGACACTAATGGAAACATTTGCCCATCATTTTATAGCAGTAGGTATGTGCAAATTGCAATGCATGGACGTTAGTTTGAGATCCCTCACGCGGATTGAGCTTTGCTGGTAGATTGGGTACTTTGTTGGGTTGGTTGAGTTCATGCAAATGAGATGATGTGACGAAAGAGGAAAAACGAAGAATGAGCCAAAAGGGAGTAACGTGCTAGAAGGAACAGGTGCTTGTTGCATTTTTTTACTGAGTTCTTGCACATCCTTTCTTTCTTTTTCTTTTTCTCATTGACGTATTTCAACTTACAAACCCATACACTTCTCTCTGGACTCCTCCCTCAACAATTCAACCAACATACAAGCTGGCCTAGGGTCCAAGTAAATGGACCTGTTCCATCTTGTTTGTACATGGGCCACGAAATGTGCAGCCCGGTTGGCTTCTCCACGTGTGAAAGCCCAAATAATTCATTTGTCAACTCCAACTCCAAGGGACGTTGGCCGGAGAATTTTTATTTAAATTAGCTTATCTATATGTTTAAATTTTTGGGAAATCTTAATACTTGTAGTTATCACACTCGCTCATAATGATTTGATTCTCTAATCATATCGTGAAAGTTTATCACGTCCCATTTAAATCGTATATCAAGATTTGTCATCCAAGACTATCAAATGTATTATATTATATAACATATACCAGTTCGTGATTCTCGAGTATGGACGAACTCTCAACCCATTGATAATAGTTCAACTTATTAGATAAAGATACTTGATTACTGGATAAATTCAGTTTATCCCAATTGGAACTTGATACACATCGTACCCTTTGTTATAATTGAATTCTCTAATCCTCACTCATTTTCATTGTGGATGTTCATGAAGTATCAGTATAGGATCTTATGATAAAATTTGTCTTCAAGACACTCAAATTTAGTTTCTTATACAATACGTATCAATTGCTAATTTTTTATGTTTGGACCAATCTTTAACCCATGGTTGTTGTCTAGTTGTTGGTTTAGAATCTCAATCCAATGCATTTACATATATTATCGATGGTTCTCTTCTTAAAATGATCCTTTAGTGTATGATTTTCTAAATGTTTGAATGTGCAGTCGATAAAATTTCTCTATCTATTGTGTTTGTTCATACAAATATTGTGACATTTCACATGCATTTATATTCAAGGATGTATTGTAGGAACATCTATTGTCAATAGCTAAACATATACATATAAAAAGTTTATTGTACTTTCAGCCCTAATAAATACCATTAAACTCGGCTCGTTGGGTGGAGTATAAAAACAAATTTTTTTGCTAAGGTAACTCGATGTAAATACAAATTCCTTACTCTTACAAACTACAATATTTTTATTCCGAGACTTTGATATCATAAATGTTTTTGTTACAACAAAAATTTGGTATTGAATCACATGCTCACAAACATATAACCAAATGACTTCTACAATTGTTTTATTGAATTCATCACTATTAAAGATTATTCATTTTAACTCAGTCATCAGTTAAGACTCTTGTAACTATAAAGATTTTTTTGTTTACATATCTCAAGTAACACAATAATATTTATTCATTGCCTCAATCGTCGAATTTAATTTTGTCTATCAAGAAATTCAAATATTAAATGAAAAATTTAAACCTTTATTCGATTAATGCATAAATTAATGGTTGATGAAACATGATGTTTAACGTACATTCTTAACAAAGATTCCTCTAACTTTTACATGTATCATTTTCCAATGTATCTCGTGTCTCATCCTAGGATATGAAGTCAAGTTCGTAAAAAAACATATCGAAGTCATTTTGAAACCTATGATTTATAATCCCTGACATTTAATAACTCCAAGTCTGAAAATTATATTTCGTAACTTATTACGTAAGACTTCAATAGAGTTTGCTTAATTAACATGATCTAGAGCAAATTATTAGTAATTTGAACTCAGGATACATTGTATTAATATAATTTCACTTAATCCGAATGAATAGATTTTTTTAAGAAATAGCTATTATTGCTTGGCCAAGTTTCTATTCAAACATTTCTTATTTTCTCTCTTTCTATCGTTATTTTTTCGCGATAAAATATTATTATATATGCGTGTTTGTATGAATTGTTCATCAAAATGTAACATATTTTTAAATTTTAGTAAAAATGAGTAAAAAGTTTACTTGGCAAGCTTAAATAAGATATTTTTTGGTTAAAAAAAAGTTACATGTGTAACTCAAATACATTAGTCTGTTGTTGCGTAGGTAGATCGATACAATGCAAAAGTAAAAACAAAAACATAAAGGAATTATAGGGTAAAAGAAAAATAAATATTAAAAAAAGTTAGAGATAGCAAATATAATATATGTCACTCATCATACATTATTTATTATTGTGTAGAATGCTGAGACGATGAAGCAGATTCGACCGATCAGTCTTTGTCAAGTGTTTTATAAGATTATTTCAAAAATCATGGCGGAGCGAATGGCCATCATTTTGCCTTCAGTTATCTCACCGGAGCAGAATGGGTTTATTCGTGAACGTCAGATAGTGGACAATGTTCTGATCGGGCATGAGATTATGCACTATCTTAAGATTAAAAAGCAGGGGAAGAAAGGGTACTTAGCTCTAAAGGTTGATATGGAAAAGGCCTATGATAGAGTTGAGTGGTCCTTCTTGTTTGCTTTAATGACAAAGATGGGGTTTAGTGCTCAATGGATTGGGTGGATACAGGAATGTGTTTCTACAGCGTCATTCTCGGTAATGATGAATGGTACCCCGTCTGGGTATTTTAGATCGACGAGGGGGTTAC